TGGGAGCCTATTTATAAATCACAAATATTAGAAATGAAATTTTGTATAAACACATAAATTTGAAATAAAAATAGCCAGGCATAATTTGGGGCTTCCATTTGCTTCTCTTAAATGTGCAATGCACAGGGTTGATTTGTTTTAAAAACACTCCTTACAGTACTCATAGTAGCTACCTCAAAGTCATCTACATTTTTGAGTGTAAAACCCCAGAAAGTGTACTAACAAAGTTACAAATAGTTAATAAGAATAAATGCTACAAAGGGTATGGAATTTTAATACACAAATGAACATACACAGACATGCCGAGAAAACACAAACAATAAATAAAAATAGAGACACCTTTATCTCTTAACCCAAGTAACTGACAAGATAATGCATGTAAAACTGACTTGAAAATTGTTTAAGATTCAGATTAAACACAAATGCAATCCAAAGGTGCATTTTGCTTTCCGAAGAACCCCAGTGAAGAAGGTAGAGGCACACTCCTCACCCACAGCCACCTCACAGAGAGTTGGGGCACACATCTAGAAGGAGCACATGCAAAGCTCAGTGCAGCCTTCGACCCCGACAGCAGGCAAAATTAATTTCATGAAGAACCGCAAGGCATGACCTAAGTGTCACTAAAGCTTTTCTTTCATCAGTGACGATAGCCAGCTAAGTGAACCAAGGTCAGGGGTGCAGGAGCAAGGGACAGCAGCAAGAGGACCACTGAGGCTACACAGGTCAGCGAGCTGCGATCTCACGTCCCAGAGAGTTTCCCGAAGGTTGCTCGCCACCGTCACGAGGCTACGCCTTCAGCAGAGTCTGTAGACTTACACAAAAGTGATTTGGGGAAGGATCACAGATATCCAAAATCTTAAAATTCTAGAAATCCAATAGCCACGGAAATTTTCATACCACAAAATTCTTGACTCTAAGAAGCTTAGAAGAAATATTAATGCCTGAAATATCTCTTAACAAAATTGAATAAAAAGGAATGAACTGACACTACACATTAGTGGTCAATCACTTTTGATTCTCATGTTTATAAATGGACTTCCATATCTATTAATATTGAAAATATAATGAGTGATATTAAAATAAATGTGACTATCACATATATATTCTTAAGACAAAGTATGATTTTAGCAAATACAATAAATTTTAAATTCGCCTCCAAATTTTTCTCATCTGAAATAAACTAACTTCACTGAGTTTAGAATCAATTCAGTGAATGAAATCAAATAAACAAAAATAAATAATGACTTTCATTTTAAGCATTAAAAGTAATAAATTATGAATTGCTTGTCCTTGGTTGAGAAATTGCCAGTTTACTTCTTTAATTTGTGTCACAGTTTGAATGCAACATGCTACTGAACAGATAATCCGAAACACTCTGGTACTTTAATTAACTCTTATCCAAAAATTTAGACCTTAGGCCATGCAGGTAGAAGAGATGCGAACTTCCCTGCTCTAGTTTTCCTTAATGAATTTGGCTCTTTGAGGATAGAATGGAAATGTTGATTAGAAGATCAGTGAATACATGAAGGAGCACGAGTCTTGCAATCAAAGATTATTTGGAGGGCAAAATATAAACTCATGTTTGAGATTTGATGAATTATGTCAGGCCTCTGCCCCAAATTACATTTTGAAAGTGTTCTGCTTAATAACATTGGACAAAGTGTTTAACTTGTTGTCACTTATTGTATAATCCAACTAACAGTAATAACTCTAAATGACTGGGACCAATGAATCACCTTTTATGGAAAATATATATCTGTATGGTGGCTTCAGCTAATCTCTAAGATCATTTTCATTTATTTATTCTTATTCTTTTATTTTTTGGTTTAGGGAATGGGCTAAATGGTGTTCAGGGTCTCACTACTAGATCGGACTTGTAGTGATCCACTTGCTTACAGCCCCCCAAGAACAAGGATTACAGGTGGGTGCCACCACACCCAGTCTCAATTGCCTTCTCAGTGTGCCCTGGGTGTGGGTCTGGTATGGCAGGCCTGGGGGTTGAACCCCCAGCCCCTGTGTCTGCTTGCAGGTGCTTTAATCCGCTGAGCTATTTGGCCGGCCCTAAGGAGCAGTTTCAATAAATACTTATTATGTGGACTGAATACATGCATTATAAATTAAATTCACAGGAGGGAGCTGTTTTACTAATGTCTTGAGACAATGAAACAAATTTTAAACTCAATTCCATTTTTTTTCTTTGCACAGGGTAGAAATCAATATGAATCCACCTTCAAGCCACTGTACAAAGGGACCGTGGGACAGTCTGTCTTCAATAACTGGCAAGTTCCCTTTCCTCACTGGCACCAAATCATTCTAGTATCTGCATTCTCCAGTTGAGGAAAGAGGCACATGAGTGGGGAAAGGGCAGATAAACCTAGAGTCCTGGTTAGAACTCTCTCCTGAGAGCTCATCCACTCCCCTACATTCCAATTTACAGTAAAATGAAATTGGCACATTAACCTGAAAGAAGAAAGAGAGAAAAAAATTGAGCTAATTCATTCAGTGAATCCCAGCCAGCCTAACAGTGTAACAGTGAGTTTACGCATGTCCAAAAGGGAGTTTGGCTCAGGGTGGCAAGGCTAACTTATTCCTGGTGGGATAAGTGACAATTAGAAGTATTTGGGAGTGGAGCTACTGTGGACGGCTGGGTTGGGTATGTTGTACAGTACTTCCAGAAGGAATTTTGATGAGAAAACATTAGTAACAGAGTTCCTTCTCTCCCTGCTTCACCCAAGACCTTTCTTCTTCCTTCAGTTATTCCATAAATTGGGGAACGTTTTACATGGAAGAATAGGACAAATTACAAGTAGGGGGTAAGTGAGAAAGGCAGAAATAAAGCCTAGCAGGTAATCCTTATCACACTAGAGAAAGGCCCAGGTGTTCGTTACCATTGTTAAGAACACTTTAAACTGTCAGTCCCGTCCCTGGCAAATGGACTGCATTCCAAGTGCCCTCAAAGCTAAACCTCTCATGAAAGACAAGCCAAAAATAGATGGGATAACATGAAGAAAACAAAGAGGAAAGAAACTTATAAATGAAATATCATTTGAGGTATATAGATATATGAAAAATGGCAGTTGTCCTGAAGGGCAGACTGTGAAATACACAGCCGGAAGGAAATGAGCAGGGACAAGACAAGGATGCGTGTGCAGGCCTTGGCAGCCCACGCCGAGCCCAGGCCCGCGGCTCCTGTGGGCAGCTGCAGGGTGCCTGTACGCTAGCCTCAGTCTTTGAAGGCTATTTTGTTTATATGAAGGTATTTGGACGTTCATCATCTTAGAGTTTCACACAATGTCTGTGTGCTGTTGTTTCAAAATGCAAATGAAGTACAATGTACTGATAGGTGCCTCGTAAAATATCCAGGATTATGGGTTAGCCAATAAACACATATTACAACACTTTCTAAATCTCTTTATATAACTTTTGTAAATCAATTAAGATATCCCCAAACTTTCATTCGTGATATCATAATGATTCACTTATACTTACCCTTCCTTCCTATGAACCATTTAAAATAAACCAAATTTTATGTATCAGAGCTCTTCACATGTTAAAGAGTATATTTTGTTGTTTATTCTATTAAGATCTTCGAGAGTTCATTTGCGTAAAATGTGTGACAACTGAGTGAAACACTCGCCTAAGTTCATGCTATATGATAATAATCCGCACATTAATAATTAATGTTGACAGTGGTCCCTTCTGTAGCTAATTCAATTAGAACACATATTTATTTCACTTAAATTAAAGGGGAATATGTAGCTCTCTGAGTTACGCCTCCTTTTACATGGATCACAAAAAGCAATACACCGTAAGTTCTACCCGGTCGAAAACCCTAGCTTAAATACTGGGAAATATAAATTCCAAGCTAGACTCAATACATGAGCTATTTGTTCGCATTTTCCTGACAAGTACAAATGGAATGTGGTAAGACAGAGAATAGAGGAGAGAACAGAGTCGCGCTGCACCCTGCTAATTTTCACCGTGTCTTTTTAAATGATGTTATGAAGGTGTCATACTAAACACAATGCTTGAAGGTGGCTCTATGGTTAATTCTTCATTTGCTCAATTTACTACCACGAGAATAAAAATATACACTATTGACTAATTTGAAAGTTAAGATAACTGTTTTTCTTTTTTTTAATTTTATGTATTTGGTACAGGATCTCACCACGCAACTCAGACTCACAGTGGTCATCCTCCTTCAGCTTCCCCAGTGCTGGGATTACAGGCGTGCATCACCTCGCCTGAACTTTGCTGCCAGCGTGGTGCGCCCGAGGCAGGGGCAGCATGGCATGTGGTACTGGGAACTGAACCCAAGTCTTTGCACTTGCCTAGGCAGGCACTTAGACCGCTGAGCTATCTCCAAGGCCCAAGATAACCTTTTGAAGCAGATGAATGCATGTATTAAACATTAAATGTATTTCAATCCACAAAATTTTAAAAACTGGGCATTATTTTGAAGAATTAAAATGTTTTAACAGTGCTAGAATAGGTGAAATGCAGCCAGGTACACCTAAAATGATCAGCTTTGTAAAAACTATAATTTAATCAAAATGGGAATGATTCCAGTTTCTCCATCTTCCTTTGGTAAAACAGTATGTGGATACTTTTTCTTGAAACAGGTCGTGGGATTTTCAAAGTGAGGCACCTTTCTGCTCTGTCCTCTGTGGCTACTACAGCAAAGGAGCTGGCCACACTCGGCAGGACAGGAGGTGACCGGGATGCATGAATTCTGTCACCAGAGTGTCTCTGTGGAATAAGGAGGTAATTAATCATCATATTTCCACATGTGCCGAAGTGTTGAATGACTGCAAGCATGGAATGCCAGAATTATTAATCATTTTATCACATAAAGCATATATTTCTCTTCTGTTTGCACTTAGCTGAACACGGATGCACTCTTGCTACGAAGGGCTGGGCCCGCTGTGGAGCAAGGCTCAACTCTTTTTTATTGTTTATCCCTATTTGTTTGAAGTGTTATTAAATAATAAAAAAAGATCTTTGCCTTTTGTAAGAACATGTTTTATGTATGATTGAAGTTTTTACAACACTCAAAAAAGCCATCTGATGTTAGATTTAAAAATAAAATCCAAAGCATTTTCTGACATAGTACACATGAAAAATTGGAAATCCCAGTATCTTCAGTAGAAGTAGTAGAAAGTGTATGTCTCCTTGGAGCTGGACACCCACTTAACACAGCAAAAAACAGGGTATTATACTGTAAACAAAAAGGTACAGTAAAGGACAGTTGTAAATTTACATAAGAATAGTTCATAAACATTTTGGTCTTTCCATAACAGTTTTATATAAAATGAATAAAAAACCTTTAGACAGCTGTCACCATTCCCGTGGGAGCACTTTTCACTGATATGCACAAACGTGTTTATAGAGCAAGATATTGATGCACCAGTACATGGGTATTAGACTAAGATCACTGCTTGTAACTGAGATGTGTAGAATCCAGGCAACATTATCCACAGCTGAGATTCTCTCACATCATGGATTCTTGTCATGTTATAGCTATAAAAACATGAAAATATAACTTTACATTATTTCAATTATTTACATTAGTTCAAGCTTGACAGAGAAAATTGGAATTTTGGAAGAGTAGGCCCAGAGGTACAACAAATACCATTGACTGTACATTGTTTGTTGGTTTTTTTTTTTTTTTCACTTTTAAAAACTCATTTTAAGTACAATATGGAAATTATTAGTCTGCAATTTGGTCATTCTAGCATTTATTATTAAAAATTTGAATGCGTCTCCCACATACCTGCTGAGGAGACGCGCTCTAAGCCTACACTGTGTTTCCTGCAGGAGCTTGTGATCGGGGCAGTAAAGTCTGGAGGAGAATATGATACCACAAGCCACCGTGTTCAGGGCAAGTGGTCACCATTAAAGCCTACTAGTCTCCTTCCCTTCTGTGAGATAGAACAAGCAAAAGTATTTTCAAAGCACTTCGTACCAGGTACACACAAAGGCTTCTTTGCAGAAATGACCAGACTAGTAAAATAGTTAAAGTAACCACTGGGTGGAGATACTTGTCTATGGCACTAAATTCATTTAATTTGGAGGCTTTTAATGAAAATCAAAGGCATTTTTATAAAGGGAAAGGTAGATTCTTTTAAATTTATTAATAGAGAAATATAAGCTCTTTACTCAAAAGTTACACAAGTGTGGTATTTTATCCATACTGGGCATATTAAAATAGTAATTCCACCTGAGGAATAAATATAAAAATAATATATTAGGATTGCTCTCATTGATGGGGATGGGCAAAACTATAGTGCATGTAATTCAAAATGCTTAAACTATTCAGAGGATGTGGGGTTTATGACAGCTTTTATAATCATGAAGTTAAAAGCCTACATTTTGTTTATGAAATTTGATCAATGGCCAAATATGTTAAGAGCCATTTTCAAGGCATTTTATATTTCATTTACAAGTAGTGCTGTTCTTCTGCAAGCTCTACCACCTGCAAAACAAAGCTCACATATCTGTTTCTTATTATTAAATTCCAAAATCTATTAGCATTTACCTACGTAGAGTAAATGCTTTTGTATTAGCAAATATTTAATTATATAAGTATATGTAGGTATATAGTAAGACAGATCAAAAATAGACTCAGATATTATGTGGGATCAATTCATACTTGGAAAAAAAATCACCTGGCCTTTTTAAAAGGGGAAATATTTTTTCTGGGAACCTAGTAATTTAATAATGCCTTTAAACTGACTGGATTTATGACCAAACTGTAGCTCAGCAAAATTAATTGGACCACTTGGAAATAAAACAATACAAAAATGTTTATTTCAAATGTCAAGCATTGGCAAGTAATTTTTATATTAACACCAAATGTTAAAGAATAGGATACATTAAAGTTTTAATAACAATATTAAATTACAAGATCGGAATCTTCTCTTTGTTTTCTTCCCTTAACATTTACATATTTGGCTTTGAAAAATCCGGAACTGACGCCTACAACTGTTGTCTGTCAATCACTTCTCTTCCCCTAGTTCACTCGGTTTTTGTCTTTTCCAACCACTATGGAAGCAAATTTATTTAAAAGCCAGTTTGTTTGTGAAAATACTTAAAAATATTTTTTTTACTTTTAAGTGTTTTTTTTTTCTTTTTCTTATAAAACATGTCACATCTTGATGCGGCTGATGTCGAGTGTGCTTGGGTCATCGTGAGTTAAGAGACTGCCGACAGGGGCTGCAGAGACAGGCTCGCCGTCCGCACAAAGACGTCAGGTAAGTGCAAGGACTCCCGCGTAAGCGGTGCATGGCCGCCACACTCCGTGCGTAACTCGAATAGAAAAGGATGCCGTGTTTGTGATTAGTCATTCCTGACAATTCAAGATGAACTCCGCCTATTTAAGAATTCTTGGCTGAAAGAAAAGTCTTCAAGATACGGGATGCCTCTCACCACTTTGACAATAAACACACAAGAAAACCATTGTGTAAGGCACTCAAAAGGTTCTTATCAATCACGAGAGATCAGTCACACTGACATTCATTCCCATGCCAGGACTCACGTAAGGGACAGCATGCACTGCTTTTGGAAATGCTGGAGTCAAAACAGGTCCATTTCCTCCAGTACTTCCTGAAATTGACAGCCTTGCCGCGTTCCTCATGGCGTCGCTCAAGGTCATCTTAAAGGAGAGGGGAGGGAGAGAAGAAAGATCATATGTTACCGTTTTTGAAAGCATCCAGCGCAAAGGCTGCACTGCTTTTGAAAAGTTTACTTCTATCTGAAAGCTTCTAGCAAATGAAAGCAAACAGTGCGAAGCTGAACTGCAAATCACGGAGCACAATTACGGCAGGAACCTGACCACATTCACCCATGCTATTGCGCCATTAAAGAGGAGCTAGACAGTTGAGCCGCAGGTTAGTCACTGATCAGGAACATGGAAAAACACCAACAATACATACAGATGGTCCATCCGCCTTCTTCCTCATTTAAAAGAGCTTAAGGACGCGACAAGAAAGCTAAAACGTGCACTTAGAAGTGGTATTAGAGCCTCGTTCCTACCCCCTAAATTTTAACACTCTCGATGCCATATACGTTGTAACCTTCCTTATAAGTTGCAAAATTCTGTGAATTCTGCGAGGAAGATGGGTTAATATTCTGTGCATTCTTTGCCACCTTCATTCGTTTCGCCTCGGCCCTTGACTTGTAACAGAACTCAATCAAAGCCACCAGCATTGCCAAACCAAGGCCCCCGACCAGGATGTAGAACACTCCAGCCACGTTGCTCAGACTGAGGGCACTGGTCTTTTCCTAAAGGATGTATATAAGAAGAGGTTATTAGGAAGGCAAACTGGCGCATGGGAGAACAGCAATGTCACAATAGCATCATCACAGGAACAGCCTAGTCACACAGAATGCATTTGAACTCCAGAAACAATAGATGCTCCCTGAGATGGTCCATCTTCCCACTAGCCACCACGAGACAACAGGAAATTTAGTCAAGGAAGTTTGGTGGATTTAATCATCTCTCTATCTACAGCTTCTCTTTGCTCATTTCTTAAAAGATTTCCTGCCTATGTCAGCTGCAGTGTTCAGCTGATGAACAGATAGATCCGTTACCCTAGGGAAACTAGGGGTGGGAGGTGAAGTCTTCATCCCAGGATTACTCGGGGGGAAGACGACAGCACACAAGGTGTTTAGAACAAACCGTATGTGTAGGTATGGAGCTGTCACTTTGGCTCTTGACAGTGTCAGTGGTTTATGTGTGTCATGCATGGAGAGCTGGCTCTGTTTGCAATCACTCAAAGTAGAAGGGTTGCGAGAGGAGGACTCCGGCAGTTTCTGCTGCTGCGCGCTGGCTAGTGGGGGTCGCGGGGCATCTGCCTTCCAGGTCTGCTCTGGCAGTGTGAGCAGAGGCAGTGAGCTTCTCTGTGTCTCTTAGACTCTGAAATGCACTCCCTGTGTGTACTCTCCTCTGCTGTACTACACCTCACAGAGCCTTGCCACTCAGTACAAACAGAGCACACGTGATGTACACAGACAGTCTTGTCAGTCAGCATTGATATAAATATTGCCAGTAAAACAGACAAGAAAACACACACTCCTGTCTTTGCTGGGTCTTAAAAGTTCTGCTACCATGATCATTCTGTCATTTACTCTATTTCAGTATGCTTCTGCTTCATGCATTACCATATATGAGTTAGACATGAACACAGACTGCAATAAATATATTAAATGTTTATGTTCTACTTAAAATAAAATAAAATAAAAACAAATCAGTAACTCTGCAGGCATTACCAAAACAGCTTACCAAATTAGGCACCTCATGCTTTCT